CAATTATATGGGTAGAGTATCACTTTATATTACACATGCTATGAAGTGTCTAAAATTTCTTAAGGAAAAGGATCATCAAAAAAATGGAAAAAGGAGTTGTGCACCTTGTTCCCTAAGAGACTTCAAAAGCAAATTAGATCATATGAAAAAAATTTAAGTGAACTTGTGTAATTTTATCTAATCTTCCCAATATTGAAATCTTACAATATTAATGTTTTCTACAATGCACTCCATAAAATGCTGAACTAGTTTGAAGTAGCATTTTTTATTCATCTATACCAAACATGCTGATAAATTTCTAAATGTATGAAACCTATGCTCTTGCTTAGAGCTTGCATGGATAAAGTAGAAACTGGATTGTAATGTAACGGTAATGGAGATAAAGACACGGAGGACAAAATCAAACTGTGCTTTTTGCAAGTCAGTCATCATGGCTGTGGGGAAAAGTCAATTTCTTCGAGTAGTTTATTGTTGTTTCTTTTTTTATATAAAATGCAAATATACTTTGCCATTCTGCCCCAGAAATCATTTCCTTTTCTGTAAAATCCGTGTATACTTTACACCATTTCCACAATCTCTAAAAGAAGTGGGTTAGGAGGAGTTAGTCATAGCTACCTCTTATAGCTGACTCCACAACCCTTAGAGAAACTCTCCGTGAGCTGTCTCCATGCTATGCTATTACACTGCAATTTGATGCAACTTTGTTGAAAAAACAAGTATGACTCCGCTGCTTAGAAAGCAGCCTTTCCCGTTGAAACTTCCTTCGATGTCTTCTATTACACAGTGATTGAAATGTTTACACTATCCATTTTAAGCAAAAAGCTATTGGTCATGTTTGGCACTGGTTACAACCTTGAACCCATATATGTATTTCTTTCATCATTATGATTTTTGAGATTGAAAATGCTTTGAAACCTCAAAAAACTTGGTTCACCTTTTATTTCCCCTTGGTTTTCCATTGTAAAGGAAACTGTTTTACTCTCTGACAAAATACTTATTTTTTTAAAATAAGAGGAATTGTCTTATTTGCACCATTCATTCATTCATTCATTCATTGCTGGCACACTGAGTTTCAAACTTTTCTATCTTCTGTTTCATAGTAAAGGAATTAGACTTTTAATACAAAATAATTCCAGTAAAGTCTGCCAAGTATCACAGTAGAAGAAGGTACCAAGTGCCAAATATCATGGTAGCACAAAGGTGGAAATAAACAGTTCTTGGTGTGGAAGGAGGTGAAGAGTGTAGTAGACTAGGGTTGAACTAAACAATCTTCATGGAGGAAATTGCTGAGATGGGGCTTACTGTTACAAGGTATAAGGTGGAAAATCACAAAATCGTGTATAACCTATGAAAGTTTCTAATGTTACAAAACGTGAAAGGTGAAAAATCACTAAACTATATGTAATCTATGGAAGTTTGATAGTTACTGCAATACAAATGCTAGGTGTTATGAAAACTATTTCATCTATAAATTGAAAATGACTTAGTAATTGACTAAATCTGTATGAGATAGATGACAAAAACATAGTTCCAGCCTATATCATAATTTAAATCTGCAGAGTCTAGGGATTTGTTGAATTAGTAACTCACCTGCTATATAGAATCAGTAACTGAACTGGAATAAGGAAGTAGTAACTGGTCTGATGAAAACATGATGTCAATTTTGATAATGCCTTTTCACATGCCTATGTGTATGCATATAGATTATATACTAGAGAAATTAGTTTAATCCTCAAAAGAGAGGTATGGGGTATAGTTAAAATTTGGGAGTGCTTATCTAATTTTAATAAGTAATTTTATATGCATAAAGAATGAGGTAGATAGTATAATTTGTTCTATGAAATATTTTGTGAACAAACCACATCCTCATAGTTGGTGATCTATTGGGTGAATGTTTTGCTTCCATGTAAATTGTACAACATACTCTTCAAGGTCATTCAGTTGTAAACTTTCTTTCCATTGGAACTCTTATTTTTACAATTCTGTAAGTTTTAGTATCTGATAAGAGTAAAAAACAATTACTCTTGATATGCAAATTGTGTCCAATTCAGTCTGTTCAACTGCCTTCCATCCAGTACCATGTAAGCATTCTTCTTTGCCTCCATTTGCACGTTCTTTTAGAAATTCCCAAACTATAAATGCGTCTGCTCTTTGGATTCCCCTTTATCCTGGTTAAAACATCATCTTAATAATCAAATATAATCTTTAACTAATTTTTAATTCATATCTGTGTGACACCTTCTATTGCAAATTCTTTTAATATGAAGGTTATAATATCAAATATGCATTGACAATAAGATGCATCCTTTCAAATGAAACACAAGTCCAACTTAGTAGTGTGCCATAGTTACTCCAGGCTTTGTCCTCCTCGTGAGACAGTATAAATACTATGATAAGATTTGGTAGCAATTAGCCAGGTGAATAATAGGAGGGTTAAAGGGGAGGAAACTGAAAATTTAACAATCTGGAGACAAATTTAGAAAGCGCTAAATTTAAAGAATGGATTTCAAGTTGGTTAAGAGGAGGAAAGAGGAGTTTCAAATATAGAGGCCATGAGACCCAAGCACACAAGATCTCCCAAGGATATCTACTTCTTTTCAAAGGCCATAGAATGATATTCAACACATTTAAGCCAGAAATGTCATGATGAATGTTACCTTTTTATTCCATCTAGATGCTGATACAAAAGTAAATTTAACAGTAGCAAAGTGGATGCATGAAACTGATTAGGAATAGAAAGGGAACATTACACATATTTATAGAAACATCTGAAACATAAAGTTCAATATATATCAAAAAATGTATTAATAAAAGAATGAAGAATCCAAGCTAACTCATAAAACTCTCGATTATGTAATTGTGTAATAGCCAGTGCTATTTACTCAAATAGAGTTCATCATACGAGAAAGCCTTAAGTATGCTTAAAAGTTGATAATACATAATAGAAAAAAGATGAAGATAAGGAATAAAGGAACAATAATCAACAATGTTTATTCAAAGAAAGTGGAAGAAAATAAGATGCAGATCCCAGAATGAAGAGACTGTATTTCTTCTGAACTGTGAAAGAAGGGAAAGAGTTTAGGGTACACATTTATTTAAGCTGGTATATTTAGATGTGGTGATTTGATGGAGCTGCTGCATAATTGCCTCCATTTCATCTGAGAAACAGAAGGCAAAGTCATGTCCTGACAAAGAAAAAAGAGGTAGCAAAATCAACACAGTTTTAGACAAGTACAGAAAACTAAAACAGTCAGTGTGAAAATTATGATAGAAAGTCAACAAGGGAAAAACTGAGTAACATTTGACATTGCTAAGATCCAGCTGTGGTCAGTGATCTTCATGGAGCCTGTGCTTCAAGTTGTGTTGTTTATTCCCAGCACTGCCAAGCTGCCATCACAACCGCAGTTGATATCCAGTTGATTGGAGAGTCTCACCCATGAGATGTAATACAAGGAAAATCTAGTAACGGAGTTTAGGATATTATTTAGAAATAAAGCGGATGAAATGATTCACCACGGACCTAAACTTTACAGAGAAGACAGTAAAATAAGTGTTGGTCAATAAGGAGTAAGTTGGGAGATTAATATATTGATGGGACGGATGAGGTCACAGAACAAGTGAAACAGGAAAGACTGGGCAGTCAGGCTGGTTACAGAAATGATTTGTGAATTAGTGAAGTAAAGATACAAGAGTTGGCAATGACAAGAGTGTATTTGTTCATTTCAATACCCATTCCCATTCTGCAACTCACTAGCTGTGTGGAATTAGGTTGGTTGTTTCTAATTTCTGACTCTTTTTTCTATTCAGTACAATGGCATAAACCAGTACTTCACAATTTTAGTTTTATAAGAATTACCTGGGTAACTTGGTAAGTCACAGATTCCAGAAATTCTTATTTATTTTGATCTGGGATGGGGCCTGAGAATACGTACTTTCAACCAGGTTCTACAATAATGCCAGGTCACAATTTGATTAGTACTGCTATGGACATTGTGATATCACAGACATCATAACCTAATGAGATTGTGTGTGTGTGTGTGTGTGTGTTTGTTGTATACAGCAGGCAATCAAGTACCAGTTACTTTATCCTTCTCAATGAATACTTACCTGTTGTTATTATCTGAACAAGTGAAGTATAAAACCATGAAGAACTATAATATCAAGGTTAGTAGAAGGAATTCCAATTATCCAAGGAAGTTGCCTCTGAGTCATTTCCAAGATCTTCCTTTTGGCCTTCTCATCTTTCTTAGTCCTGGCATGAGAACCCAGCCTAAGACAACAGGGCAAGAGAAAACCTTACAAATATTTATGAGTTTTGATCTAATCCCTGGTTTTGCATATCACTAAAATGGCATTAAATTTTCTTTTAAAGATTTTATTTATTTATTTTTAGAAAGGGAAGGGAAGGAGAATGAGAGAGAGAGAGAAACATCAATGTGCAGTTGCTGGGGGCTGTGGCCTGCAACCCAGGCATGTGCCCTGACTGGGAATCAAACCTGCGATGCTTTGGTTCGCAGCCCGCACTCAATCCACCGAGCTACGCCAGCCAGGAAGATGGCATTAATTTTTTAAAGTATTGTCTTTTACTCCATAACCATTTACCTCATAATTACTATGCCAAATATCTATTCACTTTGATAATTCTCATATAACAATTTTCACCAATAGGTACATAATTCTTGTTCTGCTACCATTGGCCCCAGAGATTCAGGTCAAAATTCTTCATAGTTCATAAATAAATAACTTCAACAAATATGAACTTTATTGTTTTGAAACTGAGAACTTTTATTTTGTTTTGCATAATAATCTCTCTATCTGACAGAACATAACCAAGAATATATTCCATATTAACAAGAAGCCCCTCACCGAATGAAAACCTCCCCAGAAGAGGAGCCCGTCTATCCCAAGTACACCCAGTGTCTCACACAGTTAGTTGCTCAGGGTTCTCATATCAAGGAAGCATCACCCTGGCCTGGGGGATGGTCCACTCTTCTTGACCTTCAGGCTACAGAGCAGCCACACTTGCACATGACCTTTTGGCGCCGGGCTTTAGCTGCACGTAATGCTGCCTCAGCCTCCTGGGCCTTTTGGATCTCATGGATGAGCAAGGAAAAGGCCTCCTCCACACCTTGCCGTGTTTTAGCCGAGGTCTCCACGAAAGGGACCCCCCAGCTCTTGGCAAGGGCTATAGCAGCAGCATGAGCATCTCCGCTGGTGGTCACAAGGTCGCACTTGTTGCCCACAAGGACGAGGGCCCGGGTATAGTGAGGGCTCCAGGTGGCCCGCATCTGCTGCAGCTGGGTTAGCGATGAGGGATCATCGAGGGCGAAGACACCCAGCACACCATCCCCAGAAGCCAAGCACTGATCACGCAGGGACTTGTGAGCCGCTTGCCCGGCCGTATCCAGCACATTCAGAATGCAGCTGCCTTGCTCCAGGATCACCTCCTTCCAGTAGGAATCCTGGATGGTGGGATCATGGTCTTCCACAAAGCACTCATGGTTCAGCTGGATGGTCAGTGCGCTCTTGCCCACACCACTTGCACCCACAACCACCATCTTGTATTCTGGCAGCTTCTTGCCATCACCTCTGGAAGGTGCCTGAGCACTGTAGCTCTCCTCCAGGGCACTTGGGTTCCATGTACCCAGGCCAGGATCAAGCATACTAGACTTTTTTGGTAGTGCCTTGCTCACTGAAGAGATGTGGACAGCAGGCCCTCCGTCCTGGGAGAGGAAGATGCGCTGAGACCCGGACTCACCACAGCTCTCAATATGAACTTTAAAGAAGCAACAAAAAAGAAGCTGACTAGTTCTCGCTTTCATTTTTCTATATTTCTTCCTACCAAAAATATTTGAGTGACATTAAAAAATATGCTCAAACAATACATCTGCTAATATGGGATGCTTATAACTAATGATATGAAAATGATGGGCAACCATAAATACCATCTTATGCATGTATGTATATATGCACATAGAGTCACTGTAATTGAAACTGAGCATTTAATTTGGCTTCCAGTTATAGGTACAAACAAAACTACAACAATGGTTTTAGATCATTTTCATTGTGTAATGAAAGAAAAAATAATTATCTTCAAAGTAATTAGTATTACTTCTTAGAGATGACTTTCAAAAGGAATTGATCACTTGAGCTCTTATTCAGTGGATATTGAACAAAACAGTAGACAATGCAGATAAAAGTACTTTTTCAGTGGAATAGGGAATTAGTGGTCATAGATTAGTGGTGATTAAGAATGTCCCATCCTACACATTTGTGTTCCAGAAAGAACTAACCTCAGAAGAACCACCCTTCTTCCTTATGCCTCGATGTCCATTTTTGTCACAACTCTGGTAAAGATTCAAAGATGACTCTATCTTCCTCTATAAAACTACAGGCCCCCTTCCTTTCCTTTGAGACCTTCATCATTAATGACTGTTCTTCCTATGCATTTGGCTGAATAAAATCGTCTCCTTAATCATGCAGGGATTTTGTCTTTCACATATTTTGATGCTGCAGTAGAATTGGGAGTAATATAGTAAAGCATTTTTCTTTTCAGGGCCTTGACCTTGCTCACCTGGCTAACTTATTTTTCCCTATTAAACGAAGTTTAAAAAATAGATCAGATTCCTAATTCCCATTACTTTTTAAAATTTAATTGTATACATTTATTTTATGAGTCTCAATGATTTCAGCATTTCCAAGACCTGATGTTTCCATTTGTAACATACTGACTGTTCTAGCTCAGAGAAAATAGCAAGTAATTTTTGTAAAGGCAGAAGGATAATGAAGTAAAATTGAAGAAAGAAAAAAGAAAAGGATAGCTTCAGGTTTTGGTTCTCTCCAGGTCTTCAGTCTTGACTTGCTAATATTTTTCACAACCTTCCTCTGTGAGGTAAATATTTTGTGATGGTCATTTCCATAGAAATGAGTTTAGCATGACCCTTCTCTTTGCATATTCTCATGTGCTGTGTGTACTGCCTGTCCTTTTCTTGTAATAATAGATTATAAAACAAGAACTTCTGCTCTTAACTTTTACGAATTTGGTTGTTGGCAGTCCCTGTCCTTAGGTTTAACTTTCAATTCCCTTCATTGTCCAACTTACATATTTTAAACATTTTTCTTCCTTTCAGAAAACATCAAAGTTTTTCTTCACCCTCTTGTCCTCGAGTCTGAAACTAAAATGAGCTCTTCTAGAAAAGACAGGCTGTCCTCTCTTCACATGAAAACCAGGTTAGCCCTGTAGTCATGGGTGGATTTTGACCCAGGTCCTCTGATCAGAACTTCTGCAGAGCCGGCCCTAAGTAGTCCCATGTTTTCTGCAATTCGGCCTCTCACACAAGCACCGAGTATCTGATAGTATGTGATAATCATTCCCAAACTTTTACATAACCATGTAAGCTAAGAGAATGTGACACCATTGTACAATTTAGAGCATTTCACTTCTTTACAAGTATAGAAATTAACCTGCCACCAACACAAAATATATTGATTGGTATAAGAGTCAGAATGTTTTAACTTCCTATATTTACTACTACTGATTCCCATACCTTCTTAGTCTCGTAACATGTTGGATGACAGCAGGTTTATTTCTTATAAAACTGGTGACCTGTATTTGCTGGGATCAAGGGAAACATGGCCCCTGTTACGTCTTAACACAAAGTCATTGTTTCTTGGCTATAGTAACTGTACTTATTATAAGTGAACTCTAAATAACCTTGAAAGAAAAATCTTGTATTATCTATTGAAGTGTTGTTTCTATTCATCTTATATTTAGATCTCAAAAATAGCACTCATATTGCTTACTTATGTTATGAATGATAATGCAGAAAAAAGGGGTATATAAAAGGAAGTAAAAATTTTGACAAGGTATTCCTTAGCTAAGTGTTTCCAACACTGAATTTAAATAATACTGTTGAAAATCGCTATATATTTTATATACACATTTCTTAAAATTGCTGGAAGAAATGTGAAAATATTTTACTCATTCTAACTGTAGGGATTTTTATTAACTACTTTACCATAAACAGATGCTTATTTTTTATCTATATTTATTAATCAAGTATAAATTCTTGGTTGAAATATATTATCATCCTACAGATATCTAGCTAAGTTTCAGTTTATCACTGCCATGATATTCAAAGTAATGCAGGGAAGAAGCATTCGAAATATTAGTTACCAGTTATAAATATTCCTTTTAACATATGAATTTTTACCGAAGTCAAATTACACGCCTGTGCTGAGAACTTATTGTTCGAGTTGTTCACAGTCAAGCTACTTAAAGTATTATTTGGCATGCTAAATATTTGTATGAACAAAAAAAGCTATGCAATTAGTACAATGACCTGGGAGAAAGAGGAAAAGACTATTGTGAATATATCTGTCATTAGAAAATTCTATCTACTAATAGGTTTATTAGTAAACTTAATATTCAAACTAAAGAATAAAAATAAAACCAAAAATCTATTTAAAACGAGAACAATACCTGAAAACATAAACAAAACCCCTTATTTTACCTAGCCTGACTAAATTAAAAATAATTACCCCCATATTCACCTTGGTTTAGATTTTATGTAATTTTTTACTACAAAAAATAAGTAAAAATTGATGTTCTCAAAACACATTGGAAAGCCACCATCGCCTGTTTATTGAATCTACGAAGACATCTTACAGTAAGAAATGCTTGTTTCTTTTGACCAGTAATATGCTTTTCCTACAGAAATAAAAAGAGCAATTACTAAGCCTCTCTCAGTATTGTTTGCGATAATAAGAACAGAAAATGTTCCCAGTACCGATCCCTAAGGAGACGGTTAGATAAATTTTACTGTTATCTATGATATAAAATACTTTGAAGCATTTCAAATGAATGAAGTAGATCGGTATGTACTAAAATGGAAATGGGAACATAAATTAAGTGAAAAAAATGATATGAATACTTGATTTAACACTTATAAGAAAAATCAAGTGTGTGTGTGTACGTACGGTGGGTACAAATCTCTACTTCAAACTCAAGTGATCAAAACTATAACTTTTAAGATATTTTCTGTAATCCAGTTTAATCTTTACCTTGGCGGAAATTTCACCTGAACGAATTTGGGAATCGAGTCAATTTAGACTACCCGTTTTCCGCCGTGGCATAAACAATTACCAAAACGTATCGACTTAAAACAAATAGACATGCGTTATCTTCCAACGTCTGGAAGTCAGCAGTCTGAGCCCGGCTTACCTGTGTCCTCTGCTCCGTACCTCACAAAATTGCAATCCAGGTCTCTACCTGAGCGCGGCTTCACCGGAGAAAGCATCCACTCCCAAGATCACGGCGACAATTGGTGGACTGAGGGGCCGCAGCTTCTTGCTGGCTGCTGGCTGGAAGCACCACCCTCAGCCCCTGGAGGCTACTCAGCCCCTGCGGGCCAGCCAGTTCCCAAGGGGTGCCCACAGTTCCTGGCCACGTTGCCTTTCCGACACGGCCGCTCGATTCGGTAAGACAGCAAAGATTTCGTAGAGCAGTCTGCTAGCAAGGTTGGGTCTTACAGGACATATCACCTAAGTGTCATCCACCTCTTTGCCCTATCCCGTTGCAGGGAAGAAGCCACGCAACCTTGATGAACCATTTTGCGCCTTTTCTGGACTGCTGCCTCCCATTGGCGCCTGACAGACTGCGCGGGCCCCAGGGCAACTGGGCGCTCCCTTTGGCTCACCAGGAATCTGCCACCCCAGAACTGCCACAACAACTTACCAGGCTAGGACGTGGATGCCTAGCGTGCCCAGGACGGTGCCACGCTTCTCTGGGCCTCACGCAGCAGCTCTTTTGCTTCCGCGACTGTCACCACCTTTGGCAGCCCCACCACCGGCCCAGTCCAGCTCTTCCGTGGAGCTGAGACACAGGCCTGGGGAAGCCTCCGCCTCCCAAAGACAGGTGGCAACATGAGCTGACCAGGTAACATTCCGCTCCTTAAATTGATCTTGCAAGCTAGCCCCTTCCGGCTTCTGCTGGTCACTTACGCGGGCCCCTTCCGGCTTCCGTTGGCCCCTTCCTGTTTCCGCCAGTGCTCCTCGCATTCGGTTCCCCTTCACCTCCAGTTCCGTGGGGAGAATGCGGGTGCAGGCCCGGAAACCCCAGGGCCGCTCACGCAGTGGCGGGGCCTCGGGGCCTCCTGTTCTCAGTGACAGTAGAAGACCACCATGTGTCGTTCTCTCTAAAAGAATTGAGAAGTGTGTACAAAAACTTTACTTAAATGAAAAGAATGAATAAATTGCAAAATGTAAATGTAAACCGATTTCTAACTCAAGACAAGTCACAACCCACTGTATTCTGGTAGGAAATTGTCACGTACTGCTAATCTTTCACCCAGAGAATGCATGTAAATATGTAAATTGTAAACAGTAGACTTAGGAAAAACTGAAGCTTAACGTAAATTCACTGAAAAATAAAGAAATACATGACGTATAGGTAGTCTGGGTGAATTCAAAGAAATTCAGAAAGCTCCAAAGCAGAAATTTTGGGAGTTGATTTTTATCATTGCATCTTTATTACTCGCTAATCTGGAGCAGTAAACAAGTAATATACAGCAACTACAATGTGTGTGCTTTCAGCAAACCTTACAAAACAGTCTTTTGCATTCTGTTCGGGAAATCAGTTAATGGGCCTGTTGGGTGCCCACCATTTGGAGGGGGCGGGGCCAACAGCTCCTGCCCAGCTGCAAAGTGGCTCAAGTGGTACAACTCCGTACAGGATTGAAACAAGTGATAGATTTATTCCATCTGTTTCTTTCCTCTCTTTGTTGAAGTTAGTCAAATATAGTGTAGTGGATAATAATGTGGT